AAAGTTTTGACCTTGTTACAAGAAGAATATCAGTGCTTCCAGGAAGAAGTCGAAAATACACTGTACGAAGTGTCGACTACAGAATCATAATTTTAATGGTGATTTTTATGCGCAAGTCGGAGCAGACACTGAAAGGTGGAACGGTATGATTAGAAAGAACGGCTCTAGCGACCCAAGCAATAACCAATTTGAATATCTAACCTAAATAATAACTATAAGTTGCTGCACTTGTGAGCAAACAACAGACAGCACTTTATGAATACCTTCTTTGAGCATCGAAGGCTGCACCAGTATACCTTGCAAAAGGCAGTTACGCCACATAAGTCGATGATCGATCTGATAATCGCATTGTCTGACTTCGATATAGGATGTTCAGCTTAAGTGATGCTGAGAGCTGTCAATTGATCATCACCTTGCTATTGGTGATCAACTTTCCAGTGCAAATGATGGAATACCACACGAAAACCTGGTGGCAGAATGAACCAGAGAATCAAATGGGAAACAGTATCTTCTGTGGATACGAGGGCGAAAGTTGCAAACTACATCGCCCGATGGTTTGAACAGATCCAACAGATAACCGCTGATGTGCAAAACAAATGGAAACTACTTAAGAGCGAATTAGTCGGGACTGCTGCCGAATTCCGCGGTTTAAAACGAGTGCCGCCTGAAGTCAAAAACGAACTTATTTGTGGAGATATAACTGGCTATCAGCGCGAAGGCTGCATATAAGAGACTGCTGGGAAGCAACGATTCCTCAACTTACATGCGGTATGAGGAAAGCTGATTCCTGGGAGAAGTTGGAATTCGGTGAGGCGATGGAGTCAAACTCCCAGACGACAGATAAGGTATGCTGCGGACAATCTGTCGCTTCCGAGATGGAAAGTAGGGCAGTATAAGAGTCATGAAGGGCAAATCTGGACGCCCTCTTACCAAGGACCAGGAGATACTTCGGTGAAGAAGAAAATACCTTGAGGTTAACCACGACCAACCTCAGGAAGACTGCCTGAAGAGCCGCAGGCAACGGATGTCATTCATTTAGTAGATGAAGTCACAGAAAACGTAAAATGCTTCAAAAGTGGCAAGGTTGCTGGAACCGATGAATTCCGCCCCAAAGGCAATGCGTTTTACGGCGAATACATGCCTGTAAAATTGAAGTAGCAACGGAAAATGCACAAATTAGCCGGATAACGGGGTTGTAGCATCCCTGTTCAAAAGCGGGGACCACATGACATATATGCTCGAAAAATCAGGGCATTACCATTACCGTAGGAAGCCTCCCAAGAACAATCTACTCAAAGATGTTGGAAACCAAGCGCCGCGGAATAAATGACTTTAAGATGCAAGAGGAGCAGTGTGGCTTCAGGTCAAGCCGACTCATCTATAACCAGATCTTCGCCTTACGCCAGATTGTTTAAAAATGGTTGCAGTCGCTTGTCCGGTTTACATGTGCTTTGTAGACCTGGAGAAGGCATATGACGGATCCCATGCAACACGCCTCCAAACATACGCGCATATGCTGATAGTTGGCGTTCCATCGAAGTATATGTCCTGAAGTCGAGACCTTGCAGCAACGCCGGCACCGTTCTCCACCAAAGACGCATTCTGAGTCCTCTTCTGTTTGTATTGTACATGGATAGAGCAGTCAATCGCAGCTACGGCGACGAGTGTATTAGCGTAAGAGATGTGGAGATGAGACGGTTGCTAACTTCAAACGATCTTTTTGTTGGCATCTTCTGAAACTGGCCTCCAGAGAGTGTGACGTAGTCTAAATGCGTGTGAACGTATCCAAAGCGAAAAGAGTATTGCCTTCTCGCTCTCCTGTCTGTTGCTCTCTTCAGATTAACGGAGAGGTTGTGGAGCAAGTGGAGGAGTTGAAGTACCTCGGAATCATTTTTAATAGTGATGGGAAATTTGAGGAAGAGATCGATCGGCGAACTGGAGTAGCCAGTGGCGTTCTGCGTGAACTCATGCGAACGGTTGAACTAAAGAAGAGGTGGGTCTCTGAAGACTAAGCTCTCTCTCCGTGTTCAAGTCTGTCTTCGTCCAGATGCCTATATGCGATCATTAGGCGACAGAGACTTGGTGCATGGCCTGCTGCTTGCCAGAGTGAGAAGTCACAGCTGCGATGGTGTGATCACGTGTTGAGAAAACTTTCAGAAAAGAAGGCGCAAAAGTCACTGTGCGCCCAACCGATTGGCCGAGGATCCCAGGACCAAGGGTCGAGGCCAAGAAAAACCGGTGACAAGTGCATGAAAGGACTCTGCTCCAGACTTGGGTTATTGTCTGCCAAAGTTGAGACGTTGGTGAATAATCGAGGACGTTGGAGATACCGTATGACGCGTCTGCCTCCACATGTCGAAAGGGTACGCGGCCATTGAAAATGGATGACCGATTGGAATGCGGAAATGATTTGTCATGATTTTTTGACATCGTCCTCAATCTGGGTAACGTCTAAATGCTGTATGTTTCGTAGCGAAATTTCTAACTCTGAGGAATCATTTGCATGGAAGATTTGTATGTGCCGCTACATAAATTGCTAACGTTTAACTAAGATAAATAAATCTGTCGTTATCGACCTCACAT